CACGGATAGGTGTCGAGCCTTCCAGTTAATACCAGCAAAAATGATAGTTTGGTAGTACTCGTAGCGTCTACTCACAGACACCAGCCTAGAGATTACCAGTGTCGTATTTGCCGCCCCTATCAATTGATGATTGGAAATTTTGGTAAAAATATTAAGATTGTAAATAATTGTTGGAAAGATAGAAACTTTTAAAGGTGCATGAAATGGACTTTCTTATAAAGATGCATGGCATGGCATTAACAATTGCATCGTTTTAAAAGAGTATGAATAACTGTATATACTTTGTAAGGATTCTCTACTGGGCTTTGTGCTCACCCCTATGGGATTTGATACAGGTAAAGATGTGGTGAACCCGCTGAACTGAGGGCGTGGATGTTTTTGAGAAGAGTACATAACTTTTTTATTTTTGTGTAACTCTTTTGAGCCAAGGGCTAATGTGTATGGGTTGCCGAAACCACCTTTTTGTGTAACCAGGCATATGCCTTGGAAGATGTAAGTCCTTGAGTGCATTGTATTGTTTTGAGAATGGATGCTTTACATGCTATAGATTCATATGTTTGTATTGATGAATGTATACCCGCATGTAAAACCCTTGTAAAGACTCATTAGTATTTATGTAAAGTTGGGTAGATTATTACCATTGTTGGATAAATGTTGATCATTTGTGGGTCGTTCATGTTAAATTATTTCGGGGCGTTACAGACTTAAACACACCAATGCAAATGCAATGTAAAAGTGTAGATAAAATTTTATATCATGAAATTCAAGTCAAGTTCTCTAAAGTCCCCAGCAGAGTCGCCAGAAACTGTAGCTCGACTTTTTCGCGTCCCATTTTAGCAGATGAATAAGCCCAACAGTGTCGAACTTCCGCGGTTCTGAATATGATCTCACAAGTGCAACGTGAAATAGATAAACACCAAAGAGTCCCAATCCAGAAAATCTTTTTGAAAATTGATTTTGAATCAAATTGCCAAAAATGGACTGCTTTGCCAAACATAGAGTCGCTACGTAAATATTTTTTGAAAAATTTAGGAAACCCATAACTCATGCCAAAGACCACGTGTCCATTATCAACAAGATTGTCTCGGCTCAGAAACTTAGGTAAGAGAGGGGAAGGTCATGAATTGAGCACCCCCACTCACCTGATCAAAGATCGGCCTCTACTAATCATGATACAAATCTTATGTACATTATATGTGTAAGAACCTGAATATAAAAATTAAGGAAATAATTAAATAATAATAATATTACAATTTCAAATATTTTGATGGTGAATCCTAAGTGCAAATTAAATATTTGGAGGGTCTTTTAATTAATTTTAAAACCTAAAATAAATTTATAGTGAAAGTCTTCAATTTAAAGGCAAGATTTATTTTTTTAAAATAAAAATAATAAAATTAAATTAAGTGTCAAATTAGTAAGCATATTTTGATCTAATAATATCTGTATTTTATTTAAATTAATGGGGAGAGCAAATAAATTAAAACAAAAGATAATATTTTAGGGCCTTTTGTGTAGATGCATATGCAACCCTAGGTTGCCTAATACTATTTATAGCAGCAGCATGAGCCACCATGGGAGAGAGAAAGGTTGAGAGAAAAGAAGAAGAAGAAGAAAAAAAAAAGTTTGCAAACAAGGAAGAATTTTTGGGTGTGTGGTAGCTCTTTATCTTTCTTCTTCCTTTTGGTTTTGTTCTTTATCCTTACTCTATTATTATTTAGTTCATTGATGGAGAGGTTGTAGGTTTATGTATTTTTTATATAGATATCCTATTAAGAAACCTGAGGAATTAAATTTATGTATAAAGAATGGGAGAAATTCTTAGTTTAAAAATTCTGTACAAAACCACAAACTTTAAAAATCAAGAAACCATATCAAATGAATGAATTTTAAACTGAAATTTTTCTAGTAGATTAATTACATATTGAATTGCATATCTAAATTTTTCATAATTTTTGGGAGTCAAAATCCATATAAACTAATGCGTTCAAATCTGTCCAGAAAACTGGTTTAGAAAAGTAAGTTCGGGAGTGTCGTTCTCTTTGGGTATAAATCTGAAAATGATCAAATTAGTGTCATTAGAACCGGTTATGAGTCTAGTTTCGTACATTTTTGGCCTTGTGTTAATTGCTTATGCGTACTAAGAGAACCATCAATTTCTTTAAAGTGCTGCAGAAAACAACCTTTTAGATATAATTAATTGTAGATAATTATTTTGAAAAGCAAATCAAGTAAAACCAATTGGGTTTGAAACTTAGGATATATTGGTTGATATCTGGATGGCTTTGGAATTTGTCGAACAGTGTGGAGTGGGTTTTGTAATTTTCAAAGTTAGCGAATAGATTGGGAAAACTTGTTTAAAACTCTGTTTTATCTTAAACTTACCTTTAGTTAAGTTTTGATCGGAACCCATGCCTTGGGTAATTTTAGACCTTGAAGAACATTAACTTAGCTATTATTTAAGAGTAACGGTGAGTGGGGTTGAGCTGTGTTAGTGCGTTTTAGTGTGGGGTACTTAGTTTTTTATTCTCTTGAGTATTTTTAAATTAGTAGTAACGTGTAGTCTTCATACTTGGTTCAGGACACTAGTTGAACTTTCATACTCTATTCAAGGATTATATTATTTCATTTCCAGGTGAGTAGTTTCATACTATATAATTTTATAAATGTTTCCTATCCGGAACTGTTGGAAAATTAAATTGTTGTTTCAAGACTAACTGTTTTGATAAATTATTATGTCATCAATGGAATCAAATTATTTCTGAAACATGTGTGAATTTGGCATACTGTAAACTATTTCTTTTGGTCTAATGTTTATAATGGTGATCTACCATGTTTTGCGAAACTGATGTGTATTGATTATTGGGACCATCTGTATATTTTAGTCGAGGGAAATTATTGTACTGTGTGTGGTGACTCTGGCCACTAGGGAACAGATCCGGGTTGGGCCGTGATGACTATATCTCAACGATTGTAAGTAAAAGACCTAGGTTAAGCTAGGTGACCTTCAATCAGATAGTTTTAGAGAAAAGGCCCAGGTTGCCACCCTGAGGATGACTCTTAGTTCGGTATTGGATCCGACGGGGCTTATAGCCTTGAGAATTGTGTGGCATGTTACTTGTTATTTCTTGGTACCCATAAAATTATTGGTGTTCATATTGTAATCTGTTTTAAGTGAAAAATGTTATTTATCATGTTCTCGAGAAACATGAGTATTTTAACTGCTGAACTGTGGAACCTTCTTTTTTAAACAGATTGTCTTTACTAAATTGAATGCCATTTTATTTTTTGTGATATATATCTTATTTTGGAATTGAACCCTGTTTTCAAAACTATATTTACTATCCATGTTGCTAGTCACTGAGCTATCAACTAACTTAGTTGTTTATCATTTCCAGGTGTTAGAAGGACTTAGAGTGAACTCATGGCGTAGCGGGGACTCAATTGCATGGACCTTTAGGACATTCATTTATTTTGTTTTAGCTTGTTATGTCAGGTTTTGTGTATACTTTGTTGTTGGTTTTACCATTTATACTTCTGACTTGTCACTGGATTGAGTTTTGATTTATTTATATATGGGCTATCATCACATTTATTCTTCGTGATTTTGGGTTCGTGTTTAGGTGTACATGTGCCTTGGGTGAGTCCCTGTGGGCCACGGCTGGTCATGCCTGGATTTGGGGTGTGACAATTGTGGTATCAGAGCTATAGTTTATCGGGTTACATATCTTGCATTTCATCATTTAGATGAGGTCCGAGTCCGTATAGTCCTTAGTTGTGTGTGGTTGAGTTAGTTTTGTTTAAACTAGTGTTGAATCTTTGTCGATTTCATTTTGAAGGTTAAGAGTTGACACCTAAATATCTGCACAGATTGTCTATTCATTGTGAGCCTTTAAATGTCTGTATTATCGTGTCTACTTCATTATGAGAAACAATAGTATTGGGAGTTGTCTGTAGATCTTGTGAGGTAAACTTGGATGGTAGGATTTTTCTAGTGGATATGATTTCTTTGGAGATGAAGGATTTTGATGTGATTTTGGGGATGGATTGGTTGACGAAGCATAATGCATCTGTTGATTGTTTTAAAAATAGGGTCGTTGTTGTTATGCCAGGGCAACATGAGTTTTTCTTTCAAGGAGATGAGAAAGGGTCTTCTATTTATTTTATTTCTTCGCTTCAGGCTAACCAAATGTTGAGTAAAGGGTGTCATGGTTATTTAGCTTGTGTAGTTAATACCGAATAGCCAGTTCAGAGGTTAGAGGAGTTGTCTATAGTGAGGGAATTTGTTGATGTTTTTCAAGAGGATCTACCTGGTCTTCCTCCAGATCGTGAGGTAGAATTTTCCATTATCTAGGTCCCTGACACAACACTTATTTCTAAAGCGCCCTATAGAATGGCACCATTGGAGTTGGGAAAGTTACAAACTCAGTTACAGGAAATTGTTAGTCAAAGGTTTTATTAGGCCTAGTGTTTCACCATGGTGAGCACCTGTGTTGTTTATGAAGAAGAAGGACAAGTCTATGAGGTTGTGTATTAACTATAGGGAATTGAACAAAGCCACAATGAAGAATAGGTGTCCTTTGCCATATATTGATGACCTATTTGATCAATTGCAGGGAACTTAGGTATTCTCTAAGATGGACTTGAGGTCAGGCTATCACCAGTTGAAGGTAAGGGATGAAGATGTTCCTAAGACCGCTTTTAGAACCCGTTATGGGCATTATAAGTTCTTGGTGATGCCTTTTGGTCTCATAAATTCACCAGCCGCATTCATGGATTTGATGAACAGAGTATTTCAACCCCAACTGGATAAATTTGTGGTAGTGTTTATTGAAGACATTCTAATTTATTCGAGGAGTAGGGAGGAGCATGAGCAGCATTTGAGGGTTGTACTGCAGATCCTTAAGGAGAAGAGACTGTATGCAAAATTTAAGAAGTGTGAATTTTGGTTGAGCAGTGTATCCTTTTTGGGTCATGTGGTGAGTAAAGATGGGGTATCTATGGATAGCACGAAGGTGGCAGCAATTGTTGATTGGCCACAACCTACTTCTGTGACAGAGGTACGCAGCTTTCTAGGGCTTGCTGGATATTACAGACGGTTTATGAAAGGATTCTCCCATATTTGCTTTGCCATTAACCAATCTCACCAAGAAAGGGATAAAGTTTGAGTGGAATGATGATTGTGAGCATACCTTCCAAGAGTTTAAACTGAGGTTGACATCAGCTCCAATCCTTGCCTTACCTACAGATGGTGGCGGTTTTGTGATTTATAGTGATGTTTCACGACAGCGTTTAGGATATGTGCTCATGCAGCATGGGAAGGTGATTGCTTATGCGTCACGACAGTTGAAAGTACATGAGAGAAATTATCCTAAGCACGACTTGGAGTTAGCAATTGTGATTTTCGCTCTTAAGATCTGGCAACATTATTTGTATGGAAAGTCATGTGAAATTTACACTGATCATAAGAGTTTGAAGTATATTTTCACACAGAAGGAACTAAATTTGAGGCAAAGAAGTTGGCTTGAGCTACTAAAAGATTACAATGTGAATATTTTTATATCATCCGGGGAAGGCAAGTGTGATTGCGGATGCCTTGAGTAGGAAGGTCGCAATTGGAAATGTAGCTGCTTTGTCTATTGAGAGTTGTTTGGTGGAATACATGAGGCGTTTGAGGCTTGAGGTTGTTACGCCTGGTGATAAGGCTTATTGTAGTCAATTGACAGTTCAGCTGACCTTGAGAGAACGAATTCGTTTAGCTCAGGAGATTGACCCCCAATGTAAGCATATTAAAGGAGAGATGGCAGAGGGTAAGCATGTAGACTTTGTGGTTAATGATGGTGGGTTGCTTAGATTCCGTAGCTGAATTTGTGTTCCTGCTTGTCGTGATTTGAGGAAGGAGATTATGACGGAGACACATAATTCTAATTACAGCATTCATCCTGGAAGCACTAAGATGTATCAAGATCTTCATGAACATTTTTGGTGGAATGGTATGAAGGGTGATAATTCAGAATTTGTGGCTGAATGTTTGGTGTGTCAACAGGTTAAAGTAAAATATCAGAAACCCGCGGGGAAACTACAACCCTTACCTATACCAGAGTGGAAGTGGGATCATATTACCATGGCCTTTGTGTGTCGTTTACCTCATACTAGTAGTAATCACGATGTAGTTTGGGTAGTTGTTGATAGATTAACCAAGTTAGCACATTTTATTATAGAACGGATGAACTATTCTCTAGCTCGATTTGCACAGTTGTATGTGAAGGAGATTGTTAGATTTCATGGTGCACCTTTGTCAATAGTGTCAGATCGGGACCCTCGTTTTGTGTCTAAGTTTTGGGGTGCGTTACAGTTAGTTTTGGGTACTCGGTTAAATTTTAGTTCAACTTATCACCCTTAGACAAATGGGCAATCAGAGAGGACTATTCAAACCCTTGAGGATATGTTGAGGGCTTGTGCTTTGGAGTGGAGAGGTAATTGGGATGATTATTTGTCACTTATGGAGTTTGCATATAATAATAGTTATCATTCTAGTTTGGGAGTAGCTCCTTATGAGGCTTTGTATGGAAGGAAGTGTAGGTCTCCTTTGTGTTGGTATAAGGTTGGTGAGAGGAAAATGTTGGGACCTGATTTGGTGGAGGATGCTACACAGAAAATTATCACCATTAAGAGAGATTATTGACTGCTCAGAGTAGACAAAAAAGTTATGCCGATCATCGTAGGAGAGATTTAGAGTTTCATGTGGGAGATATGGTATTCTTGAAAGTATCACCATAGAAAGGAGTCATCAAGTTTGGAAAGAAAGGAAAGTTAAGTCCTAGCTACATTGGTCCATTTGAGGTATTGGAGAAAGTTGGTGAGGTTGCGTACTGTGTCGCTCTACTCACTAGGTTGGTAGGAGTGCATAATGTGTTTCACGTGTCTATATTGAGGAAATATGTGCACAGTTCGTCGCATGTGATAGATTATGAGCCGCTTCAGATTAGAGAGGATTTTTCGTATGAGGAGATACCTGTTCAGATTTTTGATTCAAAAGAGAAAATGTTACGTACAAAAGCCATTAAATGGGTTAAGTTACCGTGGCGTAATCATATAGTTGAGGAGGTGACTTGGGAACGCAAGGACGAAATGCGCGAGAAGTACCCACATCTATTTTCATGATTTACTCTGGTTAGTTTCGAGGACGAAACTTTTCTTTTAGGGGGGCAGAATGTGAGAACCCGAATATAAAAATTAAGTAAATAATTAAATACTAATAATATTACGATTTCAAATATTTTGATGGTGAATCCTAGTTAAAATTAAATATTTGGAGGGTCTTTTAATTAATTTTAAAACCTAAAATAAATTTATGGTGAAAGTCTTCAATTTAAAGGCAAGATTTATTTTTTAAAAAATAAAAAAAATAAATTAAATTAAGTGTCAAATTAGTAAGCATATTTTGATCTAATAATATTTATATTTTATTTAAATTAATGGGCAGAGAAAATAAATTAAAACAAAAGATAATATTTTAGGGCCTTTTGTGTAGATGCATATGTAACCGTAGGTTGCCTTATACTATTTATAGCAGCAACAGGAGCCACCACGGGAGAGAGAGAAAGGTTGAGAGACAAGAAGAAAAAAAAAAAGGGTTGCAAACAAGAAAGAATTTTTGGGTGTGTGGTAGGTCTTTATCTTTCTTCTTCCTTTTGGTTTTGTTCTTTATCCTTAATCTATTATTATTTAGTTCAATGATGGAGAGGTTGTACGTTTATGCATTTTGTATATAGATATCTTGTTAAGAAACCTGAGGAATTAAATTTATGTATAAAGAGTAGGAGAAATTCTTAGTTTAAAAATTTTGTACAGAACCACAAACTTTAAAAATCAAGAAACCATACCAAACGAATGAATTTTGAACTGAAATTTTTACAGTAGATTAATTACCTATTGAGTTGTATATCAGAATTTTTTCATAATTTGTGGGAGTCAAAATCCATATAAACGGATGCTTTCAAATTCTGTCCAGAAAACTCGTTTAAAAAAAGTAAGTTCGGGAGTGTCGTTCTCTTTGGGTATAAATCTGAAAATTATCAAATTAGTGTCATAAGAACCGGTTATGAGTCTAATTTTGTACATTTTTGCCTTGCATTGATTGCCTATGTATACTAAGAGAACCATTAATTTCTTTAAAGTGCTGCAGAAAACAGCCTTTTAGATATAATTAATTGTAGATAATTATTTTGATAAGCAAATCAAGTAAAACCAATTGGGTTTGAAACTTAGGATATATTAGTTGATATTTGGAGGGTTTTGAAGTTTTTCGAACAGTGTGGAGTGGGTTTTGTAATTTTCAAAGTTAGCAAATAGATTGGGAAAACTTGTTTAAAACTCTGTTTTATCTTAAGCTTACCTTTAGTTAAGTTTCGATCGGAACCCATGTCTTGGGTAATTTTAGACCTTGAAGAACATTAACTTAGCTATTATTTAAGAGTAACGGTGAGTGGGGTTGAGCTGTGTTAGTGCGTTTTAGTGTGGGGTACTTAGTTTTTTATTCTCTTGAGTATTTTTAAATTAGTAGTAACGTGTAGTCTTCATACTTGGTTCAGGACACTAGTTGAACTTTCATACTCTATTCGAGGATTATATTATTTCATTTTCAGGTGAGTAGTTTCATGCTACATATTTTTATAAATGTTTCCTTTCCTGAACTGGAGGAAAATTAAATTGTTGTTTCAGGACTAAACTGTTTTGATAAATTATTATGTTAACAATGGAATCAAATTACTATACTGTAAACTATTTCTTTTGGTCTCATGTTTATAATGGTGAACTACCATGTTTTGCGAAACTGATGTGTATTGATTATTGGGACCATCTGTATATTTTAGTCTAGGGAAATTATTCCACTGTGTGTGGTGACTCTGGCCACTAGGGAACAGATCTGGGTTGGGCCGTGATGACTCTAGTGCCCAACGATTGTAACGAAAAGACCTAGGTTAAGCTAGGTGACCTTCAATCGGATCGTCTTAGAGAAAAGGCCCAGGTTGCCACCTTGAGGATGACTCTTAGTTCAGTATTGGATCCAACGGGGCTTATAGTCTTGAGAATTTTGTGGCATGTTACTTGTTATTTCTTGGTACCCAGAAAATTATTGGTGTTCATGTTGTAATCTGTTTTAAGTGAAAAATGTCATTTGTGATGCTCTCGAGAGACATTAGTATTTTAACTGTTGAATTGTGGAACCTTCTTTTTGAAGCAGATTGTCTTTACCAAACTGTATGCCAATCTAGTTTTTGTGATGTATATCTTATTTTGAAATTGAATCCTGTTTTCAAAACTATATTTACTATCCATGTTGCTACTTATTGATCTATCAGCTAACTTAGTTGTTTATCATTGCCAGGTGTTAGAAGGACTTAGAGTGAACTCATGGCGTAGCGGGGACTCAATTGCATGGACCTCTGGGACATTCATTTATTTTCTTTTTTCTTGTTATGTCGGGTTTGTGCATACTTTGTGATTAGTTTTACCATTTATACTTGTGACTTGTCACTGGATTGAGTTTTGATTTATTTATTTATGGGCTATCATCACATTTATTCATCGTGATTTTGGGTTCATGTTTAGGCTTACGTGTGGCTTGGGTGAGTCCCTATGGGCCATGGCCGGTCATGCCCGGATTTGGGGTCTGACAATATGCTCTTCTTCCGGTTTATTAGGCTAGCATTACTATGTGATGCACACACACACATGTATAGACTAATTTGCAAGATTTGGAACATTTGATTTCATGTTTTGTTTTGAGGATTGTTTCGAATATGTACCACTTGAAAAAGTGATCGCATAAAAACATTACCCGAATTATTCCAATTCAAGCAACTAGCCTTCATCCACGGGCATTCAAACAGTTTATCATTTATACTTAGTCTCGTGGCAAGCATGCTAGACATGGCAACATTCACACTCATGCGATATGCTAAAGCGAGTAAAGACTCACCTAGTACTCCAAGCCAAAAAAAAGTTATAGAGTTTGAAAGATGCATGATCCTAACTATGCAATATGGCTAATGCAACACATCGATATGCAATTACTAGGCTCGACTACTAATATGGCATATGAGTCAAGTTGATAACATGCAGTCAAGCACGTATTCAAAAAAGTATTAAACTAACAATGCAAGTTTAGAATGATGCGCCAAGCCTCAGTGCATGCAATATAAATGGATACAAACATGAGATATGCTAAATAAAACATGATACTCCTAAACTAACCATCATAAGCCAGTAAATAAAAGGTAGAAAGAAGTGGGGTTGGAAAACACGCATGTTATTACAACATTGTGCTCTCACGAAGGAGAGTTCGAATGAACTAACTAATTAACTAGCTAAGTTAATTAATTAACTATTACAAATTCAAATGAATAATTAGCTAAACTACTTAACTAATTATTACAAACAGAATTAATTAACTATTCTGGCTGACTAAAATAATTACAACACGAATCGAATTAGCTATTCTAACTAATTAATTACAAAGCCACTATTTTAAACACAACATATTTAAAACACGGATCCCAAGGATCGATGGAGGCCTCATGCATGAATGCGGTTTCCACCCAAAAAAGGCCATTGTTTCTGCTACTGAATGCCTCTGTTGCACAATAGATCACTTGCATTGATTTCCACCTCCAGACCAACTCTATTCTGCTGGGGGAGTACACTGTTGGATTTTGCACTAGTGGCCGGCATAGGGCCTGCCATACATTGATGATGGCCTGTCAGCGACTACTAGCTGGGTTTCCTTGCTGTAACAGAGAGCAAATAGAGTAGAGACAGTGTATTCTCAAGTGTTTGTTTCCACAATTTCCCCCTTCTTAT